CTAAAAGTATTACTACCAAACTAAAATTATTTTTAATAATTAAAAATTAAAGATATTATAAATGGATCTTATTTTAAAGAACTTTTTAAAATGAACTTTACGATGGAAATATAATTGAGTTATGAGATATTTTTTAGAAGTTATAATAATTTTGTATATATGAAATATTAGAAGTATATTGACAATAAAACTCTATACAACAATTTTTTCTTAAATAATCTATCCATACTTAGCATCATATGTGTCACAATAATACATAATTGTCGCCTACGTGGCGCAACACTTGGCGAATAACTGGAATGCCAAGTGTCGCTGTTTCGTGGCTTGGCTGCCAGACCGGCTTTATATATTAGTGATATGATATGGTATGATTTGTGAATGATAGAAAAAATTTAAACCTTGTGATTGGGTTTTTATAAGCTAAGTTCCCATGGTTGTTGAGTTTCTAAGTTGTGCACATGCTTTTTCAAAATTACAAGATGTGTCCTCCAACATAAGGTGTTTATGCAATCGTACCCTTTGATGTTAACCCAACGTTAGTAGCTGTATTAATTGTAAGTACCCCACTTTGGAGATAAATTTCACGTCCAAATTGGGTTAGAGTTAAGTAAGGGGATTAACATTAAACAATTTTTTCGCATTTTCTCATCTACTTTTTCTTCTTTTTTCTTAAAGCAATTGATGATATATCAAGATCTCGGTGTACTTCTTTTTTCTCATTCGTTTCTTACTATTTCTAGTTTTTATACAATTACTAACGTTGAGTTAACGTCAAAGGGAACGGTTGATTAAACAACTAAAATTGGAGGGCACAACTAGTAATTCTAAAAAAGCATGGACACATCTTAGAAACTCAACAACCTTAAGGGCATAGTTTAGAAAAAAAAAAAAAAAAAAAAAAAAAAAAAAAAAAAAAAAAAAGAATTATACAAGTATAACATGTCTCTTCAATCGGATTCATAACCAAAAAAAAAAAAAATTATTAATTAACCTTTTCTTTAATTTTTATTTTAGGATAAAAATCAAATTAAGATCAATCGTTACTCGTTAAACCTTCTTAAATCTTAATGTACTTCTCAAAGAAGAAAAAAAATATATATTTTATATTTTCTAAGAATAATACCGAGCACTTGTATGTTACTAATAAAAAATACAGTATTCATGATTGCTTAAGTTTTATTGATTTTCTTGATAGCCTACAAAACCTAAATAATATAAAACTCTACTATAAGTAATTTTTCTTATTCCTAGACAATATCAAATTACATATTAAATTACTATAAATAAATTTTCCAAATCCTAAACAATATCAAATTACCATAAATCTCCCGTCAAAAAAAAAAAATTTACCATAAATCTTTTGTAAAAAAAAAAAAAAAATTAACATAAATCTATCGTCTATCTTAGAATATCCATAGATCCTAAGATCTATATGACTTTCCTTTATTCCTAAGTTAATTTTGCATATAAATAAGACCATCATGCATCATCAAGGACATCAACCCCACAAACAAAAAAAAAAAAATCTCAATTCTCTTTCTCTTCTATAATGAAGAAAGACGCAGACTTGAGGGTTTCCTGTAAAATTTCTGGTGCAAGTGAAGAGCAAGAAATGGAAGATGATATGCCTGAGAATAGAGCTTCTGACAGAACAGTTTCTGAATCAGAGAAGGTTGGTACTGGTAAGAAACAACGGTACAGGAGGAAGACTGAAATTCTTGCCGAGGATGAGGATGAGGATGATGATGAGTCAGAGGAAGAAATACTAAATGATCAGAGAGAGGGAAGAATTAGAGACATATCAGAGAACGGGATGCTGCTCGAACAAGGAAGTTAAAATTATGGAAATTGGAAAAGAGGGAAGAGGAAGGTGAAGTTGGTGCACATAGGATTGTTTCAAGACAAAGAGTACTTGAAGAAAAGGGTGGAAAAGAAAGTGGAAGAGCTTGCAGATGAGATAGAAGATGAACAGAACATGTTTGATAGTGTTGAGCAGACTGAATCAGAGCATCGTGAATTAAGGTTCAAGAAGGAGCTTTATCAGCTTATTGTCTCTATAAGGATGATAGATGATGGTACCGAGAGAAGGGAGTATATAATCCTGGATACATATGATCAAGAAGTGAACCAGAAGAAAAGGTTTGCTGTAGCTTTACAGAATTCCAGAGACGGTGAATCCAAGGTTAAGAAGGTAAATCCATTTGCTGAAAAAGAACTGTGGGAGAAGCACCAGATGGGAAAAGCAACCCTTAACTTTGGTTCTAAAGACAAAAGCATGAATTCAAACAGCTACGAATATGTCTTCGAAGATCCTACTGAAATCATAAATACAAAGTCACACAAGCACTCAAAATATTTCTTTCAAGATCAGATCGAGTTGAAACAAACAGATGTAGTGGATGGAGATAAATTTGAATCTGATTTGGAGAATATTGAGTCACAGGAGCTCAGGGAAGAGCAGAAAACCCTGCTAATCTATAGCTATAGCGAAGATTAATTTAATGCTATCAGAGATCACCAGAAGCTCATAATTGTTGGACAGACGGGGTGTGGAAAGACAACTCAAATACCACAGTATCTCCATGAAGCTGGATATACAAAAGTTGGAAAGATTGGATGTACTCAGCCTAGGAGAGTTGCTGCCATGAGTGTTGCTGCTCTTGTTTCCAAAGAAATGGGTGTGAAACTTGGACAAGAGGTAGGCTATTCCATTCGTTTTGAAGATTATACATCTGAGAAGACACTTATTAAGTATATGACAGACGGTATGTTGCTCTGTGAATTTCTTGGTGAACCAGACCTTTGTAGCTGCAGTGTTATCATGCTGGATGAAGCACATGAGGACAGTTTCCACAGACATACTATTTGGCTTGGTTAAGGATGTTGCTCGCTTTCGTCCTGACTTGAAGTTACTCATCTCAAGTGCAACTCTTGATGCTGAGAAGTTCAGCGACTATTTTGATTCAGCCCCTATATTCAATATCCCAGGGAGGCCTTATGAGATCAAGATACACTCCACTAAGGCACCAGAGGCTGATTACTTGGATGCAGCGATTGTCACTGCGCTGCAAATACATGTCACGGAACCACCTGGTGATATTCTGATATTTCTCACAGGACAAGAAATTGAAACAGCAGAGGAGATATTAAAGCAATAGGACTAGGGGCCTTGGTACGAAGATCGCTGAACTCATTATATGCCCAATTTATGCCAACCTACCGACACATCTGCAGAACAAGATATTTGAGCCTACTCCTGAAGGAGCACACGAGGTTGTGTTGGCTACAAACATTGCAGAGACATCACTAACGATCCAGGGCATCAGATATGTTATAGATCCAGGATTTGTGAAGATGAAGTCATATAATCCAAGAACAGGAGTGGAGTCATTGCTGGTGAAGCCAATCTCAAAGGCATCAGCAAACCAACGTGCAGGTAGATCTGGACGAACAGGTCCAGGTAAGTGTTATAGATTATATACTGCTTATAATTACCAGGAATTGGAAGATAATACTGTCCCAGAAATTCAACGAACTAATCTTGCAATTGTTGTGCTTACCCTCAAATGTCTAGGAATTCAAGAGTTGTTGAACTTTGATTTCATGGACCCACCACCATCTGAATCATTATTGAAAGCCCTTGAGTTGCTTTATGCACTGGGTGCTCTGAATAAGCAGGGTGAGTTGACTAAAGTTGGAAGAAGAATGGCAGAATTTCCCCTCGATCCCATGTTATCGAAGATGATTGTTGCTTCCGAGAAGTATAAATGCTCAGAGGAAATTATTACAATTGCAGCAATGCTTTCTATTGGCAACTCAATCTTTTACTGCCCCAAGGATAAACAGATCCTTGCAGACACTGCAAGGGTGAGATTCAGTGAGGGAAATGTTGGAGACCATATTGCTCTTCTCAATGTTTACAACGAATGGAAGTCATATGACTATGGAAGTATGTGGTGTTTGAGAATTATGTTCAGCTCAAGAGTACGAAACAAGCAAAGGATATAAGAGATCAACTCAAGGGGCTTTTGGAGAGGGTTGAAATAGAAGTCACATCTAATCTGAATGATTTGGAAGCAATCAAAAAGGCTATCACAGCTGGCTTCTTCCCTCACTCAGCAAAGTTACAGAAAGATGGGTCCTATAAGACAATTAAGCATCCTCAGATTGCATACCTTCATCCTAGTTCAAGCTTAGCACATATACATCCACAGCCAAGGTGGGTTGTATTCCATGAGCTGGTTTTGACAACCAAAGAATATATGAGGCAAGTAACTGAGCTGAAACCAGAGTGGCTGATTGTGAGCGCTCCTCACTTCTATAAGAAGAAGGATGTCAAAGACTCTGACACAGAGAATGCCAAAGGGGGTAAGGGGCTTTCTGCTTTAGCTGAAGGAATGCTCGAGGAGATGAGTTACAGAGATTTGTGTAAAGAATGAAACATAAACGAAGAAGCTTATGCTTCATCAATTTGCATGAATTGAAATCAATTATATGAATGATCACTAATTTCTGACACAAACATTAAAAATTCAAGAGGCTTGATCTCTACTAAATCAAACTACAACATTACAGTTAAATATTGTGAATATTGTGAATTTATTGATTAATATTCCTTCAATTCCTTTGTGTTTGTACACACTTTCTGATTCCCTTTTCTCTTTCTCTCCTTAACTAACTTCTTAAGGGATCTCCAACAAAAATATTTGTAGATGTACATTTTAGACCATAAATATTTTGTTTGTATAAGGAGTGAAGGAATTGCGGCAATCTACAAAACAGAAGAAGAAATTCTCCAGTTAATAGTGCAGAGTAATTTGACCTTTTTTTTTTACAGGAACATAGAATGGTTTAACCTGGTATAAATCACAAGAGCTTAATAGGGGAATAAATTTAATGGATGAGTTTGCTGGGAAGCAGTTTATTCTACTAGAGTAAAATTATGTATTGAAAGTATTGTTCATCCATTTACAAGTATGGAAGAAGGAACCATGGAAATCTAACAAGAAGCAGAATAAATTTGGTTTACTGACCTTACTCTTACAAGAAAACGTTCATGTAAACTACAACTTTTTAGACCTTAAGATAGAACTATTATGATACATCTTTCAATTTTAAGCAGGGAATAAGTATTAAGTTGTAGTAACATAGACACTAATGGGGTATTGATAGAGTAAGGTGAAATATACAAAAAGATTAACAATGAGGATACCCGAAAACACTGTAGCTTCTTTGCAACAGATATTGCAAGGTCGGACAAGGTTTCATAAAGAAATGGTTTTGGCCAATTCATATGAGCCATAGTAACTGCATCATTAGCTTCAACCTGCACAAATAGCCAAAAATTTGCACATCGGCACATTCAATAAGACAAAGTTACAAGATGAAGGTTGCCCCAAATAAGGTTTTGTGGAAAAAATGGAATAACAAGCTGAAACATTTCTAATTAGCACATACATAAATTAAAGTAGTATTCAGGACAACCACCCTATCCCAGAAGCAAACAGTAACAAGGTTTTAACAAAGTGCTGATATCGTCACAACTTACACCTACTTAAATGCCAAATGATTCACCTTGATCAGAAATAAACAAGGTAAAATAATACAATAATATTAAAGCCAAAATCTATTAGGGCCATAACAAAGGTTCCCCCAATATCTGCATCTAAATTTCCATAGGTTTTCTTAAGTCAATGAGAGAATACACAGCATTTTATCAAAGACTAAGAATGTTGATTTTGGGGTATTATTATGCAAAAGAGATGGCATAATCTTATAAAATTGCTTAAACCAACATTGATAACAACCACGATATTAGATAGAAAATTTCATTAACAAGTTACAAAAACTTTTCCAGTAATCTAACACCATGTTCAGTAAGTAAAGCTCAAATGATGATCCAATTTTCCTCATTCAACAATACTTTCATCATGATTCTTGAACACTTGCAATTAAAAAATTGCACGATTATACTTCAAACATAAGACCTCATTTTGCATCTTAATCAACCAACTTCGCATCCAAAACACTCACAATTATAAAATTAAACATTTATACTTCACATACAACATCAATTTCGCATATTTAATAAACAGACTTCACACTCAAAAGACCAAAACACTCTTAAATACAAAATTAAGCATTCATACTTCACAAAACTTCATAAAACCTCAATTTCGCATTAATATAATACAATTTTTGGCGAAAAATTCAAAATCTACAGTTAAAATCTACTCAACAACATCACCAAAACCACAAATTCAGCTCAGAATAAGACATTATTCAAAACATTTAAATCAGTATAATTCGCAGTAAAACGAGCTTACTCTAAAATTCTCAATCAATCCTTGCCACGTGGACGGCGGAGTCGATTCGCCGAATCGAGTTCACCGTTTTCTCTTGGTATTCGATTTCGCTGAATAAAATTCACAATTCAAATCAAATCAAAATCACTAAAAATTATAGAAAATTAGGTAAAATTAAGCTATTTTATAATGAAGGAGAGAGAATACGGAGAGAGTTGTTCGGCGCCGGATTCTTCGATGATTTCAAGGCGTTTTATTGGGAGTTTGTTGAGAGAATTCCATGTCACCTTCGTCCCTCCATTGTTGAGCTTTCGCCGGAGTTTTAAGGTTCTAGGGGATTTTATGCACGAATGAGCTTAACGCCTTAACGTCCTCATCTGAGCCCCGGCCCCGTTTAGTTTAACTTTTTTTTTGTTTTGTTTTTTTTTTTTTTTTTTTGGAAACAACCGGGAGCCGGTTGACCAAATGAAAGAAGCCTAGCTAAGTGATGAGCAACAAAGTTCCCATCTCTTTTTAGAGCACTTACAATGGTGGGCAAAATAAAATGCTCATGGGCATTTTTGTGGACATTTTGGTAGAAGTAGTCTTGCAATGGTGGGCAAAAGTGGAAATGCCCATTGGCATTTGTTATTTTGCCCATGAGATGAGCAAAAAATAGGATGAATAGTAAGTATGTGGGGCCTACGAATTTGCTGACCCAGGCAAAAAATTTCGGTGACCAGCATGCAAAACGCTGCGTTTTGGAGTGCAGCAAGAAGACCCCCGCATCAAAACGATGCGTTTTGCTGAGCGGGAATTAAAAAAAAAGGGAAGTGGACTGACGCGTACAGGGATTTGACGAATGGCAGCTCGCCACGTGGCGTGTGCAGACTCTTGACCTCCTAAAAACTAGCTGTTGCAACGGTTATTTTTTTGTAATTCAGTTTCTACAAAAAATATTGAATAAAAAAATAAAAAATTTACCAACGGTCATAATTTTTTTTCCTCTATAAATAGACATGCATTTTGATATATTTTGGTATAATTTCAAAAAATCCATAAATCCTCTATATTCTTTATTTTTCTAAATATTTTGCAATTTTAAAAGAAGATTTTGTTGTATTTCACCCATATTCAGGTAAATATGTTTATATATATATATATATATATATATATAAATTCAGTTATTTATTAAAATTAGTATATACGTGATTTTTTTGCAAATAAAAAAATGTAGGTCATGTAATGTAATTGCAATTATATATATAATTGAAGAAAGTTGTTGATATTTTGTCCATACATTACTAAATTTGTAGTTAATTAGTTTGAAATTATTTGTTAATTTTTTTGAAATTTGGGTTGTTGTTTTGTATATGTGAAGTAATTTGTTATGATAAAATATATTGTATATGTTATTTTTGTGTAGGTACTTAATTTCGTTACATTAAATTATGTATTATATGTTTTGTTTATATGTTGTTGAATGTGAAAGTTGTATATTTAATAAATGTGAAAGTTGTATATGTGATTTTTTGGCAAATAAAAAAATGTAGTTCATGTAATGTACTAGCAATTATATATATAATTGAATTTAGAAAGTTGTTATTTTGTCCATCCGTTCATAAATTTGAAATCAATTTAAGTTGTTGTTTTGTATATATATAATTTAATTTAGAAAGTTGTTGTTGAATGTGAAAGTTGTATATTTAATAAAGTTGTATAGTTAATTTCGTTACATTATATTATGTGTTTAGGGTAAAATTACCCATGACAAATGGACCAATCCGGACCTGCCACGTGTCCACCACGTGGGCCAATCAGCGTCCGCCACTTGTCACCCTAAGAGTTCCAACATGGACTAATCAGGTCACATCATGTGGCCCATTATCCGCCAACCTGGAAAACGGCCATCGCAGGCCCAATTCCCGAGGCAAGCCCAATCAGTCCTAGGTTTTCCCAGAAAACCTAGTATTGGGCACGTACTTCGAGGCTATATAAACATGTCATTAGCCTCCATAAACAAGAGGATCATCTCACCTAGAGAAGTCAAAACACATTGATCACTCCTCCCTTAGAGGAACCAGATCTCCCACCTTTACTTTCCGCATTTATTACTCCTCAAACAAGTACTAACTTGACCGTTGGAGGCGGAGCTCCCACCACAAGGGGTCTCCGTTGTTTTGCAGGTACAGGCGCAAGGATACCAGTACCGGAATTGTAACTCTCCCGCAGGACATCAAAAAACCCCGAAACATTATGTATTATGTGTTTTGTTTATATGTTGTTGAATGTGAAAGTTGTATATTTAATAAATGAAGTGGTATTAGATTAGTTTTTACTATTTGTTGTCATTTTAATTTGTTGTTTAAATTAACTTTTTTTACAATTTTTTTTTTGTGATGCAGAATCTTTTAATGGATCCAAACAACCCAAATTTCCGTCAACAATTTTCTGGTTTTAACGATGATTTCCTAACTAATCCCGAGTTTCAATTGTTCTTGCAAAGATTGGGCAATACGTCTTTGCAACCACCTCCACAATATCAGACACCCACTCAGTTTCCCCTACAAAACCATGTTAATGAAGAATGTACACCTGAAACTGATCATGATAGCAACACACAATTCGATGAGAGCGAAGAGGAAAGCGTACCAGAGACGCTGCAGTATCCTCCACCAGTTCCCAGACTGAAATCCAACTAGGTTGCTGCACGAGTGACTCGAATTTGGTCTGTTGCGGAAGACGAAACTCTTATTGGGTTGTACTTGGAGATCAGCGAGAATGCTATTAAAGGTACGAGCCAGAAAGCAACTTCCCTTTGGTGCGATGTACACGCAGCATATCAAATGGCTCATGCGGAGAAGCCGCATATACTTCCACCAAGACCTATGAAGAGTCTGACGTCGCACTGGAGAAGGTTGGCATCAGACACACTACAGTGGATATCTTGCTATGATGAAGCGGGTAGACTTCCGGAGGGAGGGAGTGGTTACAACAAAGCTGACCGTATAAAAAGTGCGTCGAAGCTTTTTCATCTCGCCCAAGGTCGCAATTTCGCTTTTCCTCACGCGGTTGAAATGATTAATAAAGATCCAAAGTGGAGGCCAAAGCTGAGATGGTCCTTGTCAAAGGAGGAAAGAAAAGCTGCTTGTGATGTTGAGGAGCAAGGTAGTGCTGGAAGTGGGAAGAGGTCCAAAGATGATGGAGGGGATGAAACCCCTACGGATGGTTTTTCATCTAGAGGAATACAACGACCCAAAGGTGTGAAGAAAGCAAAGGCCAAGCGTAAAGGGAAAGAAGTAGCTTCAGAAAGTGCTTCGTCTGAGCTTAGCAAACGATTGAAGGAATTTGCTACAATTCGCGAAAGGGAGGCCATTCTGAAGGAATAGAGGATCAAAATTGAAAAGGATAAGGAACAGAGGAAACGGGAGGAACTTGACATTCATAAGATGAGAACCATGTTTGATATGCTGTAAACTCTAAAGAATTCGCCTATGCCACTCACTCCTGAAGAAGAGTCGTACAAGAATTTTTTACTGGGTAAATTACAGGGCTTTTAAGCATGTTTGGTTGTAGTAGGTGTACGCTTGTATTAGTTAAGTTTTTAATTATGCGCAATGTAGTCTTTTATGTTTAACTTGTATTAGTGGTGTGTTTAATTTCAATGTCATATGTAAACTTGTATTCTGATTTTCCAATATTGAATGACAAGTTGTTTAACAAGTTGATTTCAGTTGTCATTGTTACCGACATAATTGCATTCAATTGTTGTCCTTGGGTAGTCACTTTTTTTTATTTCACTTTAACTTTGGGTCATTCATACCAACATAATTGCAATAACTCTTTGTCATTGTGTAGTCACATTTTTCTAAATTCACTTTGTCAGAATGCTTTAACTTTGGGTCATTGATACCGACGTAATTGCAATTAGTCTTTGTCATTGTGTAGTCACATTTTTCTGAATTAACTGTGTCAGTATGCTTTAACTTTGGGTCATTGATACTGACATAATTACAATAAGTCTTTGTCATGGTGTAGTCACATTTTTCTGAATTCACTTTGTCAAGATTTGTCATTGTCAACTAGCATAGTATACCAATTTCGTGGCTGAAAATTTGATTCCTTTAGTTGGTGTGGTCATTCAGATTTATAACCACATATTCATTTGATATATTTGCTATATATAGTAGGCATGGCACATATCCACAACCACACCAATTCTGAAAATTACAATATTAATACATGATGTATTCCAGACCATCATCAAGTTCAAGTTCAAGTTCATCTTCTTCAAATACTGAAGAATATGATCAACTCGTTGATGAACTCTTCACATACCAACCCCCATCTTTCCTCATGTCCCAAACACAATCCCAACCTACTTCAAAAACACGTAGAGGGGGTACAAATAGAAGAGATAGGGAAATGGGACATGCCAGGCTGTTTAATGATTATTTTTCCGATAATCCTGTGTACAACACCACCCAATTTAGAAGAAGATTTCGTATGCAACGACCTTTGTTTTTACGTATAATAAACAAGGTCGTTGAAGGTGTTGTTTACTTCCAGCAGCGTAGGGATGCAGCTGGAAGGTTAGGCTTATCACCTCTGCAAAAATGTACAGCTGCGATAAGAATGTTAGCCTACGACATGGCTGCAGACGCCGTGGATGAATACGTTCGAATCAGTCAGTCAACCGCTCGAGTTGCCCTTCAACGTTTCTGCGCCAGGGTCATTGATCAGTTCGGAACTGAGTACATGCAAAACCCTACATCTGATGAATTGGCCCGGATACTGCATCAAAATGAACTACGTGGTTTTCCAGGCATGATAGGCAGCATTGATTGCATGCATTGGGAATGGAAGAACAGTCCAACGGCTTGGAAAGCGCAGTACGCCGGTAGGAACAAGAAAGCAACGCTAATACTGGAAGCCGTTGCGGATCAGGATTTATGGATATGGCATTCCTTCTTTGGTATTCCCGGATCTTGTAATGATCTTAATGTGTTGTACCATTCACCAGTGTTCGATGAGGTTCTGCATGGTCGAGCTCCTCTGGTAAATTTTACAGTTAACGACCATGAATACAACATGGCTTATTACTTAGCCGACGACATTTATCCGAAGTGGGCAACTTTTGTTCAGGGTATCACATTCCCTCAACTTCATAAAGATAAAATGTTCGTTGACCACCAGGCTGCTGCTCGAAAGGACGTTGAAAGAGCTTTCGGTGTTTTGCAAGCTCGATTTGCAATAATACGAAAACCGTCACTGGCGTACGATGAGGACATACTGCGGGACATAATGAAAGCATGTATCATTATGCACAACATGATTGTTGAAGATGAGCGCCACAACTACACTCGAGCCAAAGTTCTAAGAGCCTTCTACGAAGAAGATCAACAAGAATCAACACCAGCATCAACGTCTACAATGCCACCGTTTGAATTCAATGTAGCTAGGCCGACCTACCGACTTTGACTTTAACGCATTTCTACAGCGAAAAGCTTCCCTCCGTGATAGAGAAATTCATCTATCTTTGAAACGTGATTTAGTCGAACATATTTGGTTACAATACGGGCCACGTAATTAGGGAAAAATTAGCACGACTTTAGGCCAAGTACTATGGCCTACCTACTTTTTCCGTACGCAGTTGAGTTATTTTTTAATTGTTTTATTTATTTTATTTTCTAAGTTTAATTACGCATGACGTTGCAAATGTAATTGGTTTCTAGTATTGTACCGCTTTTTAAAATAAATAAAAACATTTAAGAAATTTTGAGCTTTTTTTTTACAATTATTTCGTATAACGTACTTAATTTAACGACAAATTTTAACGATAAAAAAGACAAAAAAAAAAAATTAAGTTATAGAAATTTAAACTAGTTTTTATTTATTTGGAGTAATATTGTTAAAATATAAATGAAATTAATAAATAAAGAAGTGTTGTGTAGGAGAGAGGAAGTAATGGTGGGGTATTGAAAAAGTAAGAGAGAGAGAGTGGTGGGTGGACATTTTTTTTGCTCACCATTGGGAGAGAAATTGTGAAAAAAATTTGCCCATGGGCAAAATTGATTTGTTGAGAGAGAAAGTGGGTAGAGAGATAGTGGGTGGGCATTTTTTTTTGCTCACCATTGAGAGTGGTCTTACATGAGACCAAAAAACATAATCAATGGTGGAAGAGAGACAAAATATCTCGATTCGATCCTTGTAGATTAGATCAGATTAAAAGAAATTAGATCAGATCAAAAAGTATAATTTTTGAAAGGAAATTTTGAATTTTAACACAACAAAATAATTTGAAAATGGATTTTTACACTACAAATAAAAAAAAGTTTATTTTAACACCACAAAAAATTTAAAAAATTGAATTTTACCACCACTTTACTGATTTCATCCAAGAATCCGTTAAGTGGGGTCCCAAATGACACGTGTCGTCATCTCAATGGTTAAAAAAAACAGAAATAATTTTTTTTTTAAAAAAAAGGAAAAAAAGAAGGAAAAAGGAAAATTAAAAAATAAAAACCCTAAAACTAACCCTAGCCCCACCAATGACACCACCTTCTCCAGCGTTACCCAGCACAGCCACCTTTGCCGCCCCACCTTATGTCGTACCCCATCCCCTAGCCTCACCAGATCCCACCCCCTCCCTTTTCGCCATCCCTAACCCGCACCCCTCCCCCACCACCGCCAATAAACACCCCTCCATCCCCAATAAATGGCCACGAAATTGGCCGATTTTGGGGCTAAGTGGCCTAAATTAGCCTATTTCGGCCATTAGTGGCAGACTCCGTGGCCATTTGTTGGGGGAACGGGACATTTTAGGGAGGTGATGGGGCGGTTTAGGGCTGGGCGAAAGGGAAGGGGCAAGTTCCGGTGATCTGTTGACAAGATCTAGTCGTATCACCTCATCAAAAGAAATTCCTAAGTCCTCTAACTAAAGCAGATAGGGAAGTAGGGTCGAATTCACATGGAAACAACGTTCTTTTATTCCTAATAAATTAATATAATCTAAATTATTAAGTAACAAGTATGAATTTTATGTGAATTAATCTTAGGGAACTAATTAAATAAGCAAGTAAAGTACAGGGAATAAAATCAATATAATAAAGCCTAGGGCATAGGCTCACCAATAAATAATATTTCGGGATGAAGGACAACAATCAATTATCAGTGTATGAATTAATCAGATTATAAAGGGATTTCTCTACATAATACAATTACAGAATTAATCTAGCGGTATTAAATCGCGTCTCTTGAATCTTGCCTTAACCGTTAATAAATTAACCTGCCTATTGAAACTAAGCCTTAACATCAATTCTCATTTGTCGAATCTCGAATAAATATTGCATAACTCATACAATTAAACCAGGCCTAATCTAATTGCATAGCATTAAATCAATCAATAGGAAATTAATTCAAACACCGATAATCAACAATAATAAATCATCCCCTTCACATTATTTACGGATCCCCAAGAACCCTAGAAAATAAACTACTCACACATAATTAAATCTAAACTAAGCAAAGAAATTAAGTAAGAAATAATTAATCAAAGCAATATTTTGGATCTAAGAATGAAGATCTAAATCTTCATATTTTGGATTTTTGTCAATATTGTAACACCATCAGACAAAATGGAGTCACGCAGGACCAAATCAGGGAGATACTTTTTCCTTTTTCTTTATCTGGTAAAGTTAAATTGTGGTATAATGGATTGAATAAGACTGCCCTAGGTATTACTGACTGGAATTCTCTTGCTATGAATTTCTATAATATATATTACCCTGCAAAGAGGACAGTTTTGTTGAGGAGTTTGATCCTAAATTTTTCCCAAGAAGTGGATGAAACTTTATATGAAGCTTAGGAAATATTTAAGGATTTGCAAAGAGAATGCCCCCATCATGGGATAGCACAGTGGCAGATAATCCAAGCCTTCTACAATGGGCTTGGAAATTCATCAAGATCAATCCCGGACTCAGCAGCTAATGGAAGATTTATGAATCTTCCAGAGGATGTAGCAGGAACAGCTATTGAAGAGATGACAATTCATAAAATTCCCAATATGGAAATTCTAGAGGTTTTGCAAACGAAGGGAAACATAATGTCGATTTTATATCCTTTGTGCAAGCTTAATTAACCTCTATTTTTCAGAAATTAGATAATATTAGTACTGATATTCCTGCTTCTGTAGCTAATATTTCTGTTGTTGGTACTAACTCTGCAATATTTTGTGAAAATTGTGGTCTTGTAGGTCATTGGGCGCAGGAATGTAGGAGTTCACTTGAGAAGATTAATGCTTTTCAGACCTATAAGCAAATTAGTCCATACTCTAACACCTACAATGCAGGGTTGAAAAATAAACCAAATATGTCGTACAATAGTACGA